AGGCTGTGGTCACCGAGGGTCCCCAGCCACGCCCTACCCAGCTCCCTGGGCCCACTGTCCCCGGGCACCCTGCTCCCGCCCCATGGGGTCGGGGACCTGGCTGATGGGTGACGGCGGGGGGGCAGAGCCAGGCCCAAGGCCAGCGGGTGGGACCCGAGCGTCCAGAAGTCAAAGTAAAAGCAGCAAGTCCATGGCAGGGCCCCAGCAGGGACGCCGGCTCGGCCCCACCCTGCTCTGAGTAGGGAAGGCCCCACCACCACCCCTCTTCAGCCTCTTCTGCCTACCAGCCTGCCTGCCATCTTCTGCATCAAAATCATTGCCAAATCCGTCACTGGAGCCAGGCAAGGTGGCACACTCCTGGGATCCCTGCACTCTGAGAGGCTGAGGCAGGAGGGTGCTTAAATTTGAGTTTAATTTGGGCAACAGCGATTTAGCAAGAACCTGACTCAAAAGATGAAAGGGCTGCCTGGGGAGGTGCAAAGGCCCTGTGTTCCATTTCCAGCCCTGATAAAAACCTATGCTATGTCCACTGGCCCTCACTCCCTGTGCCAGGCAGTTCTGAGGGCAGAGCCATCAACAGAGCCAACACCCCTGCTGCAGGGCTCACAGGCCTCTTGGAGAGAGAGGAGCAAATCTGTGGCTTTCCTGCCTCAGCCTTCTGAGTGGGGACAGGCAGAGGTGGGCTCTGAATGGGGCCCCAGCTGCCTTGGAATGGGCCTGGGGACCGAGGCCCTTGGGGCTCAAGCACAGTGTGCGCTCTGTCCACAGGTGGCCCAGGCTTGCTTCACCGTCTCCTTCCTGGTGACCGTCCCTCGGCCCTCCCTTGTCACTGCTCTACTCTTCTTCGCAGCATAGGCGGCCTCCATGCCGCACGCTCCCTGCCCTGTCCCCGTGTCTCCACACTGGCGCTGGCACTAGGCAGGTGCACGGCCCTTGTGTCTGTGCCTTCAGCCCTGAGAGCAGCAGTGGAGATGGCTGAAGCAAGCCTCTCCCGGTCCCTTGTCCCGCGGGGCCCTCCTTCCCTTCCTCCTGCACCCGGACGTGGCTCACCCTGGACTCCCCCTCTCTCTGCATCAGCACCACTTCTGTGGGTGGAAATCTGCTGTCGGAAGATGATTTTAGGACTTGGGTTAAAACTAGGGTTTTTCACTCTGAGCTGCATCCCCTGCCCATTTTATTTTTATTTTATTTATTTTGAAATAATCAAATCAAATCAAATTTATTTTAAAGAATGAAATAAATTGTCTAAATTGCCCCCGCTGGCCTCAAACTCGCCACCTGCCCGCCTTAGCTTCCTGAGTAGCTAGGATTCCAGGCACACAGCACTGTCTGGCTCCATTTTTAGAAAAAGTTTTTAAATATTCTTAAAAATCAGTATGGCAAAGCCGAACGTGGTGGCACACGCCTGTAATCCCAGCACTCAGGAGGCTGAGGCAAGAGGATCGTGAGCTTGAGACCAGCCTGGGCTACACAGTGAGACCCTGTCTCAAAAAAACCAAAAAAAAAAAAATTGACATTGTAGCAGGCTCCCGTAATCTCAGTGCTGTGGGAGGCTGAGGCAGGAGAATCACAAGTTTGAGCCCAGCCTGGGTAACTTAGGGACTTAGTAAGACCCTGTCTCAAAAAATAAAAAGAGGCTGGGGATGTGGCTCAGTGCACAGGCCCTGAGGGCTGCCAGGGAGTAAAGAGAAGGAAGAGAAAAGGAAAGAGAGCTTTGTTCTGCAAGGGTGGGCCTGCGGTCACTGAGTGTGCGTCCTCGGAGCGCCGACTGTGCCCCGTCCAGCTCCAGAACCACACACAAGAGGTGGCGAGTGGAGCGGCGGCTGGGAGGGCAGGGCCCGCGCACCGTGACACCATTGCTGCCTCCCAGCCCCAGGCTTGTGCTGCCTGACCCAGAGGGGTGCTGTTGCTCTAGGCCACAAGCTAAATGGGGACAGCGAAACCCTTGTATGGGGATAAGAAATGCAGACATTCTGAAGACCAGGCCTGGGGTGCCCCACACACCCCAAAACTCTGCTGGCTTCTCTGTGATTACAAAGGGGAACGGGCACACCCACGGCTGAAAGTACTAGGGAGGCTGAGGCAGGGGCGTGGCAAGGTGGAGCCCAGCCTAAGCAACTCAGCCAGACCCTCTCTCAAAAAATAAAAGAGGGCTGGGGCTGAGGCTCACACACAGGTCTCAGATTCCGGCCCAGGACCAGAGAGAGAGACACAGTGGCCTTCTGTGCATCAGAAAGTGGCCCACCTGCCTGACTCTGTGGGCCCTCAACTTGGACGGCGGCCCCAGAAGCCTGCGGACATGTCATTAACTCTTCTTTTCCTCCTAGGGTCCCTCACTGGTCCCCGGGGGCACAGAAGGAAAGACCTCCCCAGCACACACTGGCTGCGCCCAGCTGGGCTGCCCCCGAGGAGGGGTGACAGGGCCCCCGCAGCCCGGCAGTGGTGCACACCTCCACTGGGGAGGCTGAGGCGGGACAGTCACGGTGCACTCAAGCCCAGCCTAGGCTGCATAGCGGGACCCTGTCTCAAAAACCGAAAAAACACCAACAACAGATGAAAAACAGCTTCCACGTGTGCAGCAAGACAGTGCCACCCTAGACCTCTGTACCCAGGCGAGCACAAGAAAGGAAATCAAAGAATCTTCAGGCAGGGAGAGGGGCAACAGACTGAGCTCCCCGCAGATTCCTCCAGGAGCTGCCAAGCGGGCGCCCCAGCAAACAAGAGAGGGAGGCCAAAGAGGAGGGACCTGAGGGACGCAGGGCCGAGGGAGAGCCGGCGCCGTGCAGCAGAGAAGGGAGAGCCGGCCCGGGCCAGGGGCCGAGCCAGGACGGGCAGGCTGGGCTGCATGCGTAGGCCTCAGTGAGGACGGACAGAAAGCTCACGAGCCCAAGGGCCCAGGCTCCCGAGCTCCCGGACGCTGCAGCCAAGCGCTGACCGCCCGAGTCCCACACGGCCGTGCAGACTCACCGAAGGGACCCACGGTCTCAGCCGCCGCTGTGTGCGGAGCTTGAGTTGCCTTGTGGACACCTGGGAGGAAACGGGTTGCCGTAGCAACTGTCCTGCGCGTGGTCCAGAAGGGCTGTGTTTTTCTTTTCTGCAATTTTGTGTCTCTCACTTTGGCGGTGCTGGTGGAAGCGCTACTCATGGAGGGCCGCGCCTGCACCCTGCACACGGTCTCTCTTGAAAGAGTCCGGACAGCTTTTAATATTTTCCGAATGTGTTGGACCACAGAAAACCAAGCCACAGAAAGTGAAGCCACCAAGCGGGTTCTACTGCATCACAGATATAAGTACTCTGGGTGGGGTAGCACTCTGGGAGGCTGAGGCAGGAGGATCAAAAGTTTGAGTCCAATCTGGGCAACATAGTGATTTGGCGAGACCCACTCTCAAAATTAAAAAAAAAAAAAAAAAAGGCTGGGGATGGAGCTCAGTGCAAAGGGCCTTGGGTTCCATCCACAATAACACAGATTCAAAAATAATTAAAATTTTAAGACAGTAAGAAAAAGTGCCAAACATGAAAAGTTGGCTGTTTTCGCATCTCCTGGGACGAGGACACTGTCTTTCTGGGCGCTGGCGAAGGCAGGGTCTGGGCCTCAGAGCCCACAGTGAGCTGCAGAATGAGCCCAGTGGCACAAGCCCCACCGCCACTCAGTAGCACAGTGACCAGGGCGTCGCCTCAAACTCAGTGCTTGCCTTGAAAAGGAGGAACGAAAAGGGCCCACCTTGGAGGAGCGGTCACCGAGCCACTGACCACGTAGCACCCGCCGTGTGCTCTGGGGGCTTCCTACACGTCACCCAGACCCGTGGCCCCAGAGAGGGCTGTAGGGCTGTGGCCACAGGAAGCAGCGCCTCCTTTAAGACTGTCTTTCATCAGGACTATGGCCAGAAAGAGGAAGCAGCCCCACGGAACACCGGCCAGGGCTGTCCCCCGCCCTCCTGTCCCCCACCGGCTGCAGGCAGTGATTCCGGAGCTGGGCCCCAGCCACGGGCCCGGGCGCCACCCTGGGCAGCAGCCCAAGCCACCCGCTTCCTGTGCACAAAGAGACCACTGTCCACGGCCCCCCCAGGGCCTCCTCCTGTCCCGCTCCTTTCATCCCGCATCGTGGGACTCGGCAGGAGGAAGTCAACAAGGGCTTAGCACGGGATGGGGACTGGGTTTTGTGCAGCAGACGACAGCTTGGGAGGCCAGGGCGGGTGTGCCCAGATCTGCTGAACCTGTGTCCGGAAGCCTGGCAGGGCAGCGGGGTGCAGGCCAGAATCCCAGGACTTCAGGAAGCTGAGGCAGGAGGGTTGTAAGTTCAAGCCCACCCTGGGCGACTTAGTGACTTGGCGAGACCCTGTCTCAAAATAGCCTGGAGGTGTAGCTCAGTGTGGAGGCTCTGGGTCCCCTCCCCAGGAGCACAAATAGAAAACAAATTCAACACCGCCCAGGGGCCAAGAGCAGACTCCGGAGCCCAGCGCCTCCCCGGCCCTGTGCTTCCCGGCGCTGCCCTCCCTCTGGGCCTCAGTTTACCCGCCTGCGAAGCGGGGGCAGTAGGTATTTCTTCTTTTTTTCCTTTTGCAGCCCTGGGGAGGGAACTCGGGCCTCACACATGCTAGGTCACCCTGAGGCTATATCCACGCTGTGATTCTTTTGGTTTTTGTTTTTTTAGGGTTTTTTCTTTCTTTCTTTCTTATTTGAGATGAAGTCTCACTAAATTGACAGGCTGACTTCAAGTTTGCCTCCTCCTGCCTCAACCTCCCAAGTAGCTGGGATGACAGGTGAGCGTCACCACACCTGGCTAACGTCCCCTTTGCCCAGGGCTGTGAGAACAAGGGTACCAGGGAGGTCTTTGCAAGACACATTAGTTACCACAGCTGCGGCTGCTGAGATGGGAGCCATAGCCTTTTTATTACCAACTCAGGGGGCCTCCAGAGCTCACTTCCTTCCAGGGGCCTTGTGTGTGGTAGGCAAGGACTCCCCACTGAGCCACATCCCAGCTCTTTTAATTTTTTTCAATCTTGAGATCCGCTCTCCCTAAGTTTCCCAGACTGGGCTCGAATTTGTGATGTGCCTGCTTCAGCGTCCTGAATAGCGGGGAGGCTAGGTGTGCACCCTGCTCCCAGCCACCCCACCCCTCTTTTGCTGTCTTTACCGGAAGGTGGGAGGGGAGCATCAGGGAATCGGTGCAGGCACAGGGCCCGGGGGCACCAAGGGGGACCCGGCCTCTCTCTGAGCCCCAGGCCTCAGAGTAGGGTGAACACTAAAGAGCAAGACAGCAGAGCACCAATGACACAACAGCCGCTGCCAGCAGCTCGGGGCCACCTGGCAAATCACACAGCATGAAGCCCTCGGCGTGCTCGCTTCAGAATGAGGAAAGAGGCGCTGCATGTCACAGGGTTGTAGGGGCTTCTCGAGGCGTCACCTGTGAAAGCTCAGCACAGCATGCCAGGTGCTCACAAGTGGTGGCCATTCTGTCAGGGGTGACAGAGACAGTGTCTGAGAAGGGTCTCAGGGGAGGTGACACCCAGACAGAAAGTGAAGGGCACAGGAAATCCAGTCCAGGCAGAGGAGCCATGAGGACAAAGGCCCTGGGGCTGGGCCGAGGCTGTGTACGTTTATGTGGAAGAGGGAGGGTGGGAGGTCTGGGGACATGGGTGGGAACATCGTGGGACACGCTCAGGAGAACGGTCTAGATTCCGAGGGCACCAAGGAGCTACGGAGGATGCTGAGCCAGAAAGTCCAACAGCAGCTCCCTGAAAGGTGTCCCAGGGTGTTGCCAGGCAGAAGAGGCCCCAAATTTCCTGGCAAAGGGAGCTGGCACAGCAGGCCAACTGAGGACCCAGTGGCCCTATGGAGGTGGGGATAGCGGACAGGAACAGGCACAGGCGGATGGTTGGGCCTTGGTGCCAGTGGGCAGAGGAGCCGCTGTACCGGCTGGCCTTTCTCCCAGGAGGGACCCCGCACCCTTCAGCGCAGATCAAAGAGGGGTCTGTGGTACACTGGCTCCAAGGCAGAGACCACTTGGGGAAGGGCTCACAGCTGAGGTGGGGACGGCGCTATCCCCAAGCCCGCGTCTCCAGGACCTGCGCACACGTAGAAGCCAGCTTCATACTCTGCTGGCCTTTCTCAATCCAGAGGCACTGACGCACCAGGGTGACAGTCAGGCCTGGAGCTGCCCTCACATTCTACACATCAGAAAGACCCAGGGGCACTGAGAGACCCCAGGGAAGGGGAAGCATTTAACAAAGCCCAGGCCCAGCCAGTCTGCAGGGACCCCACAAATCCACACCTCCACGCTCTCTCTGTGAATGTTTCTTCATCCGGGGAAGACTGGCCCCGCACACACGCAGTTACCACAGCCCCTGCCTGGGGCTGCTCTCCACAATCACCCCAGAACCCCCAGGGAGGCCTGCTTCTGCCCAGAAGGGTTCCCAGCAGCTCCCTAACCAAGTCCCAGAGGCTGTGGGAACTCAGGCAAGCATGGACTCCGGTCTGCACACGGGTGAAACCAGATCCCTCCCGAGAAGCCAGGCTCCACAGACCCCCAAATCCTGGAGCACGGGGGCCACAAACACCCCGGGCCACCCCCAGAGCTCCACACAGACTCCAGACTCAGAGGCACCCTGGTTGTGCGGGAACCTGTGAGCCTCCCCGGAACCACGCCACCTTTAGACACCCCCAGAGGTTCCCACAGCCCTGCATTCCTGGGGAACCCCAGGATGCTGGCGTCCTCCACAGCCCTGTCGCCCAGAGAGCCCCCGGGGACCTACCAGAGTCATCGCAGCCCCGCAAAGACTCCAGGCTCTCGCAGTTTCCAAGTCACCCCAGCTCTCTGGGACATCACCAGCTACCCTGAGGCCCCGAGGGAGTCACCTGGGTCCCCCAAAGTCTCCACAGCAGCCCCCAAGGCCCGGATCACTTGCAACCTACAGGGACTCCCAGTTTGTCACCTGCAGCCCCCAGCCCCCCAAACCCCGACTCTCGGGAACACCAGGGTGCCCTGCGCCCCAGTCGGTCCGAGCGACACTCACAAGAGGTCCCGCCTGGCCGTGAGACAGACGATGCGCA